TCTCTCTCTCTCTTTTTCTTTTTGTTTTGTTTTGTTTTGTGCTTTTCCAAAGTAAAAATAGTTTATGAGTCTAGTCTTTACTCAGTGACTTTGGAGTTCAGTTCAGTTGATTGTCTTGTAACTTTAGCTCTGTGATGGGCTCAAGAATTGGTGTGGTTTTGTAGATTATCTGGTTTTTTTTTTTTTCTTCTCATTTTTAGGGTGGGAATGACATTCTTTTATGGATTTTATATCCTAAGGAGAAGCAGGACCTGAAATATGCAAAGGAACCTGATAAATTCAAAGTGCAGAATAGTAAAGTCTGTGTTCCTTATGCATTTAGGTCTCTTGCTATAGAAACTCCTTTCAGCAGAGGATATTTCCTAGCTGTTTTATCACTTAAGCTTCAGTTGCAGATAACAAAATTATATAAGCTATTTTAAACAGAATTGGATTTCATTTTGGATAATTACTTTTTATAGTTATAAATATTATATATTTATTATGTAATTTTGGATAATTGATAGGGTTGGAGACGTAGGCTCCAGGATGGACATCAGAACGTTCCACAGGAATGGTCCAGCAGGGGAGTTCCTACCTCTGCCCCACCCAGGAAGAGGGAAGCTGCTGGGTTAACCTCTGTTCCAAGACTAAACTACTTTAAACATGGTCTTGGGATTAGGAATCCTCTGGTGGAGCTGATAGCTCTAGAACAATTTTGTGCCTCTTAGCTCTGCTGCAGCTAAACAGATAACCTGTGCACCATTCCCTCTGTCCTGCTTAATGCACTTCTGAATGTAGGTCTTCTACATCTGTTTGGAAGAAATAAATCACAAGGGAGCCTCAGAAATACAGTATTTCCATTCTAGCCTTCCAGGATAGGAAAGTGAACTTGAAGGAAGTTGGAAAGCCATAATTGGAAACAACAGAATCCATTTGAGTGAGCTAGTTTAAGGAGAGAGAGATTGATTACAGGGTGTGTTACGGGCTAACAGAACCTCCAGGCAGGCCAGGTTCCAAGTTTACATGCTTCACAGCCAAGATTTTTGAAGCCAAGAACTAACTAACCAACCCTGCAATGGCAACATCCTAGCAGAAACTACTACATATATTGCCTCTACCACCAGTCTTGCTTGATTTCTGCTCCAACTTGATTGTGTCAATAAACGCCACACATTGGAGCGCCTGGCTGGCTCAATCAGAAGAGCGTGCAACTCCTGATCTCAGGGTCATGAGTTCGAGCCCCACGTTGGATGTGGAGATTACTTAAATAAATAAAACAAAAGAAAAATAAATGCCGTATGTCTAGGGCTATTCTTTGAACATTTCCTACCTTTGTACAAGCTAGAGTGCTTTTGATTATGGATAAGAGAAACTCAACCTCACCCAGTTTAGTATAAAGAGTAAATGTATTGGTTATATTAGTCAGGGTTCTTAGTTGCTAAGTACGAAATTCACTATATCTAATTTAATCAGAAATGAATATAGGATAGTAAGTTCTCACAGAATCTCTGGGAAGACTAGAGAACCAAGGTGGGACACTACACTTCCCGGAACAGTGGAAATACCCATGCCCTCTGCTGCTTGGCATCCGTGATGTTAAGCGTGGATGGCAGAAAGGTCAACACGGATGCCCCAGAAGAACATGATATTTCAACCATCATTCCTTTTTTTTTTTTTAAGATTTATTTATTTATTTTAAGAGAGAGAGAAAGAGAGCAGGGGGCAGGGCAGAGGGAGAGGGAGAGAATACTCAAGCAGACTCCCCACTGAGTACGGAACCCGATGCAGGGCTTGATCCCAGGACCCTGAGATCAAGAGTCGGACATTCAACTGACTGAGCCACCCAGGTGCCCCTCAACCATCAGTCTTGCCAAACAGTTCATTCTCCCTGCATGCAGCCTCATCCTTACGTTGCTCACTTCTCTATCTGGATGTCATCTTGTCAGCTTGCCTAAACGTGGCCCATATGTCTGCATCCTTGGTCCAGGGTATCTGGGGAAAATGTAGTTTAGAGCTTTTAGGAAGGTAAGCTAGAAGTGGATTGGAAGTGGGTATATAGGATCTGTCATCACCCACCTCTTTGGTAACTCAGCATCATCCTTGCCTTCCATACATGCTTCCTTTCCATATATCAACTTTTAAACAATTGTAATTATCCCTGAATCATTAGAAAATGTGGTATCTTTTCCTCAAATTTAATGTCACAGCATCCTTCTCTGGTTTATTCCTACTCTGGTTTTAGTCACAACCCTGTCTTTATTGCTTGTAACTTCTGCATTCAATTATAAAGGTAAAACTACCTGACAGACCTTATATAAAAATAGAAAGGGAATTGGGCTGCTGAAGGAAAACCATTATACCAAGCAAGGAAGGAAATATAGCTTCTTTAGTCTTCTTTTCCCTGTTTCTGAAACTCATCCTGAGGTCTTCATTGGCATTCAAAATCAAATTCCTCCACTGTTCTCCCCTTAGTCCCTTAGATGACCAATGTTCTTAACCTGGTCGGGTGACCCAAACCTTTATTCCTAAGGGTTCTGAGCCCTGGGTTAGAAGCAGTGTTCTGTGAGGACAAGTCATTCATAAGTCTGTGGTTGGTATTGCTGGTCAATGCATTATAGGCAGAAAAGGCTAGTCATATTTAGAATAATTGTCTATTCAACAAGAACAAGATGTCTGTTCATTCCAGGATGCTGAGAGTCTAATGTAACTGACATGTTACCAGGAATGGTGCCATGTTGGAAGCCCAGTGTACTCTGTTCCTTGCAGATTGGACACCTGGAGTAATCAGATCAGATTTGGTGAGAGGACATCCATGTGGTGGTACCCATGTGTAATCTCTGTCTGCTTGCCTCTGTTGTTTATGTGTCCTTTGAGCAGTCATTGTTCTGGCTAGGGAAGGAGGCTGGCTGAAAGCCCTAGAGGAGATCATCTTGTCCTCCTGATATTAATGAGAACCTCCTCTCCAGAGGGAGCCTTTGATAAGCATGGAGACACAAATATCCTCACACTTGGGCCCATCCAGAGGTATCTGTCCCACAAACCTCTTTCCTAAGCCTCATTGTTACCAACCTTCTAATCTGATTCCTTTCAAGTCCCCGATCACTGTGACAGGTAAATAACCACTCTCAGCGAATGGGTATGGATGAGTACCTCTGGCCAGCTTTCCTTCAACTCAGAGTAGAAAACCCGATGGTGCCTAATGTCCTGCGCTTCCAAAGGATCTTCCTTCTTCACTGTGCTTCAGAGCCACTCCTGCTTGGGGCTGAGATGCTGCCGCAGTAGAATTCTGGTCAGTGCCAGTATATCATGCAAAGCCATCAGCCACATTCACATTTTTTCCTCCTCACTTGCCATGTCCTAGGGAACTCCTATGAAGCCGTGAGGGTTGAGGGAGAAATGATACTGCAACAGGAGTAGACACACTGGGATGTGTTACTTGTACTTTCAAGACGTGTACTTCTTGAGAGCACGGTGTTCTGAGCACAGCTGAGTGGGACTTTATGGCTTAGATAAAATCTGGCTGATGATGAAGCTCAGGTTCCATAGTCACCTGGTTTCCTTTTCTCAGCCTTCCAGGTAATTGCACGCCAGGGGCTGTTTCTCAGAAGAAGACTAGTGGGGGGACGAAGAGGTCTTAGCTTGCTTGAAGCCCTGGGGGACTGTGCCCATGACTGTCCTCTGAGGTCTTCCCCTGTGAGGTCTTGCGGTGGGCTCCTTACACCATCTCTCAGGCACTTTCAACTCCGTTAGATTGCCCGTTGGGTCGTAGAAAACGGTATTTGCCTTAGCTGCAATGCAGACACCAGGGGCTGTGCGATTTGGTCCTTTAAGGAGGCCACATTTGTAACTGCTGTTGCAGTTGCCACCCCGTTAAGCTGAAAATAATGTCCTTTCTCAAAACTCCATCTGTTTTCTCTTCAGAGCAAACAGGTGAGTGAAACGTGGAAGTGATAAGAATGGTGTGGATATTGTACCCGTGGGTTTCAAGCAGACCCCTTGCTGCAGGACGGTGTGGGAAGTACTGTTGTGACTCCCCGATCCCCATGGTGCATTAGGGCAAGCTAGCTAGGAGTCGGAGAGAGCACTGAGTCACCTATCCGTAACATCTGGCACGACAGCTAAAGATTGTGACTATCACATCATTTGTTTGAAGGTTTGATCTGTTCCGATTTACATTTCGGACGACTGACAGATTTCCCTTTACAGAGGGTCTCGTTAGTAGGAGCTCATTTGGCCAGTTTTGAGTCATTACAGGAAAATAGCAAAGGTAAGCTTCCTATTTCTCAAATACAAGCCACACTCAGCTACACAGTCTCCCAGAGATTTAGGGGTTTTTTTTGTTTGTTTTTTTGTTTTTAAAGATTTTATTTATTTATTTGAGAGAGAGAGAAGGAGAGAGAGCACATGAGAGGGGGGAGGGTCAGAGGGAGAAGCAGACTCCCTGCCGAGCAGGGAGCCCCATGCGGGACTCGATCCAGGGACTCCAGGATCATGACCTGAGCCGAAGGCAGTCGCTTAACCAACTGAGCCACCCAGGCGCCCGAGATTTAGGTTTTTATTTTATTTACAAAATAGGTAAAAATAAAGCAGTTTTTATAGAGATGAGAACCTTTATGCCAGAGACCAAATGACAACCAGGTGTAGCTGCATCTTTGGAAGTGTGAAGTAACTTAGGCTAAATCTATTTAAATATCATTTCTAAAAATTGTACTTCAATCCCACCTGCAGCCCAGGAATAACTTTCCTGAATAGGTCATGAAATATTATCAGTCATAATGTTTATAATCTTTAATAAAATGGGAGGTGAGAAATGGAATGTGTTGTATTAGAGTCTCTGACTGAATATAACTTGTTTGGGGTATCCTTTGCTAAGAATTAATTTTAGTTTTCTCAAACACTTCTCCTAGAATGAATCTTCCATGTGGATATTTGCCTCATTATTTTTAAAAAGTGATTTTAAAAAGAAAGCAGTTTCTACAGTAGCTTGTTTTCCATTATCATATTAAATATTTTTTCAGCTCCCTTGGAAATCATTGACTAGCATCATTGAATATTATTACATGTGGAAAACTACTGACAGATACGTGCAGCAGGTAATTTTCTTCATATTGCAACCAATACAACTGCATTAAAGTGAGCTTTCTGTTCATATCTTAATATTTCTTAGCAATATACTTAATTTTAAATTTGCTTTATCTTTTCTGTACTATTTTAAACTATATGATTTCATGTCCTTAAGATATTAAGATTTTAGTCCTAATATTTTCTTTACTTCAGAAGTCATTATGATAAATATTTTGGAAAGACGACAGGGAAAGATACCACTAGAGAGGTATTATTTTCCTTGCAGGTGCTCGGTGCTTCATCTCTTTGTGAGTGTAGTCGAGTGGAATGACCTAAGATGTGAACAGGTTATTTTTATGGATTATTAGAAATTTAGACCAATGCCATCAACCATACAGTTTGAGATATTTTGAAAGATCTTCTGAAACCTCCTTAGATGACATTTGTGTCATATATATATCCTCTAAGTCTTTGACCTTAACTGTAGTAGTTAGTATTACTAATTCGATGTTTTGGTACTGTACATAAATTTTTCTCCAGAGATATTTCTAAAAGCAGGGAATCCTTTAATTTTGAGTCCTTCCTAAATGTTCCAGCTTGAGATAATTCTCTCACTTACTTAATTTGAGTACTATTACTTTTGGGGAAAGGTACTTCTTCCTTAGTGACTTCAGTCAATACTTGTTTTTATATTCTTCTAGTCACAGTTTAGAGCTGGTAAAGAAAGGAGCAAATATATTTAACACAGACATGAGTTTCCCTAAGTTATGTGATCATACAGTGGCAAGTGTTGGGTGCCATAAAAATACATTTTAAGGGTTACTTCTATTTTTTTTATTTTTTTTAAAGATTTATTTATTTATTTGAGAGAGAAAGTTGCAGGGGGGTTGGGCGGCAGAGGGAGAGAGAGTATCCTAAGCAGGCTCCACGCCCCGCACAGAGCCCGACTTGGGGCTCGATCTCACGACCCTGAGATCACAACGTCAGCCGAAACCAAGAGTTGGGCACTCAACCAACTGAGACACCCAGGCGCTCCAAGGATCAGTTTTAAAATGACCATAGTGAGTTGTCGAGATCATGAATAGTGAACACATACCCATGGCTTATTGAAAAGTTTCTGGTGTCAACATCATGTAGAATTCAAAAGTGCTTATTTCAAACAACATAGAAGTGAAGACCATGTACTCTGGAAACTTGTGTTTTTCAAGGCCAAAAAAGTCCCTAAAGGTGGTGGAAATGATGGCATTATGGGTGGTCGAAAAGTAGTTTTTGGATAAAATTATTTCCAAATATTTCAACTCTGTCTCTAAAAGTTTTTTTTTCTTTAAAGATTTTCTTTATTTGAGTGAGAGAGTGAGCAAGTGAGAGCAAGAGCCACATGCACGAGCAGAGGGAGAGGGAGCAGTAGGCTCCCACTGAGCAAGGAGCCCAATGTGGGACTCGATCCCAGGACCCCGGGATCATGACCCGAGCCAAACGCAGACGCTTAACCAACTGAGCCACCTAGGCACCCCTCTAAAAGTTTTAAGTTGCCCTCTTAAATGTTTTGTTTTCTCCTCATTGAGAATGTGGATGACTGCCTTATATTCTGGTTTGTCTTCTTTTCGGATATCTACCATATATTGTTTTACTTCCTTGTTTGTATTCATTTACTGTGTTGATCAGTTTCTGGATATGATTAGGTAATCTTTTCCCCATTCCTTTTCCTACATTTGGCTCCTAATTGGCTCCTGAAATCTGATGTGAGTTCAGCTAGGCTTTAAAGTTTATTGCATATCTCTTAACACTTGAGGGTAAATACTTATTTAATTGTACTTAGGGGAGTTATCTCTTTCTTTCTTATGGACCTTGGAAACTCATCATTTCTGATAAAAATATTTTTTAAAGCAAAGAGTGTGTGTGTGTGTGTGTGTGTGTGTGTGTGTTCCAGAAGGGCAAAAAAGAAAGTAGAAACTAAATTTGCAAAATAAAAATGGTTATTTCTAAGTCCTGTTTATTCACTGGTGGAGCAATAGAAAATGGACTTATTCACTGCTTTCTTTTTAAAATCTAGGTCTAAAATGGTATTAATACTTGCAGTTCTGTACCTCAGAATCTAGTGAATTGTCTTACAAATGAACACAGTTTAAGAATATGTACATGAAAGAAAGGCCTTTGTTAAAAATGGCAATTTTTGAGTGATGTTTTAATATTTCATTTTCTTATGAGTTTTTTAAGACAGTGAAGTGGTGATAATTATTAGGCATTGTATGTAAAATATTTTATCTATCTTTTGAATTAGAAACGTCTAAAAGCAGCAGAAGCCGAGAGTAAACTGAAACAAGTGTATATCCCAACTTAGTAAGTAACAGAAATCTTTTAAAATATTTGTCATAGTATGAATTCTATGAAAACAAAATATGTCATTTTGGTCAGTTTCAGCCAGATTTGAATTTTGTTGTGTATCTTATTTTCTGACACTACAAAGCACGAGACTTGCTTCCATTATACCACTACAGTGATTTTTTTTTAGAAAGAAAAATGGCTGATGGGAGAAACCCCAAGTAGACAGACAAAAGGATGAGAGGAAAAATGCCACGTGGTATCCTTTTATCAAAGCTGCAGGGAAAGCATCAGAAAACTAACCTCTGAGACTCTATTATTTGAAGCAAATGTGTTTCAGAAAGCTAGCAGCTTTTGAAACTTCTGTGTTATGGAATGGATTTGGGAGGTGTGGTGCACGTTGCCCTTTTGAGGTGGTTTATTTGGTTGCAGATTTTACATTGTTTGCTTGGCAGAATGGTTAAAGAGAGTAAGAAGAACCATACTTTGTAAACGTTGGATAAATAATGAATAGGTATCAGTTGTTTCACATGTCTGGTATTCTGTCATCATTATTTGGGGGAGCTTAGAAATTGTCATATCGAAATGAATGCCACTTTGCTTTTCATTTGCTACATTTTAAATGAATTATAATCTTTTTTGAGGCCTTTTGAGATCGTTCATTTGTTCAAGAAAACTTAGTCTATTGAGTACCGTGTGTATAGTGCTATACTAGGTTCTGTGGGGATTAACATGAAATTGCTACAAAGTTCTGTGTGCTGCTCCAGGATTTTTGTCACTCAGTACAGTTGTTTTATACCTAGGCTTTTGTTCACTGAACTTTGATATAGTATTACATTTATATATAGGAGGCCTTGTAGATAATCAATTGTGATATTTTTAAATAATTTTTTTTATCTCAAGGCAGATAACATGTAATTTACAGGATTCATAATTTTTATTCAGAGCTGTAATGTCCCTCCTTCAGTGGTTTCCAGTATTTTAGAACATTTTATATTTTATTTGAGTAATTTATAGAAGAGCAACTCCCCAAAGAAAACAGTGTAGTGATTCATAAGTCAGGTTTTTAGAAGCAAGCACAGCAGCTTTCTTGGGCATTGTAGTGCCGTCACATCCAAGGGAAAGTACATCTAACCAGTTTTCACCTAGTAACCCAGAGAATTTTTTCTGTTATGTTTTGCATTGACTTCATTGGAGTCTTGATCTAAGTCAAAGACCAGCAAACTGTAGTCTGCAGGCCAAATCTGACCTGCTGCCTATTTTTGTAAATAAAGTGTCATTGGAACACAGCCATTCTCATTCATTTATGTATTATTTATGTGTGCTTTCATGCTTCAATGGCAGCATTCAGAGGTTGTGACAGAAATTGTAATATCCACAGAGCTGAAAATATTTACGATGCCAACCTGATCTAAGTGAATGATGTAAAAGTTACATAAATCTTCTACATAAATGGAAGGTATGAAGTTACCTTGAGTTGGATAAGAATCTGAGTCCTTTGAAGAATTTCACAATTAACTCTGAAATCAAGTATTTTGAAACAAATAATAGATTAAGAATTATTTTATGCTATCATTCGTTTGAGCCCAGCAGTCTCCTATATGCAGAGCACTCTGTTCAGTACTAGAGGTAGTAAGGTTAAGAAGACAGACTACATTCTAGCGTGGGGGAGACAGATGCGAAACAGTCACCCAGTGTGACAAGTACTGTGATGGGGAAGAACAGAATAGTTTTTATGAGAATTTGTACAGAAAACCAGACTCAGTTGATGCTGTCAGGAAAGATTCCTTGTGGAAGTGAGTCTGAGTGAACTCTGGAGGAGGAAGAGGAATTAACCAGGTGATGGAGGCTTTCCAGGCCAAGGGGATCCTGAGATCGGAAGGGGCAGAACAGTAGTTAAGGAGCTGAGACAAAGGCAGTGTAGCTGGTGTCAAGAGAGCGGTGAGCTGCGGGAGGCTGGTATGGTAGGCAAGGGCCAGGAGTGTACCCATCTGATGAACAGTGGAAATGGATTTTAAACAAGGAAGTGTCATGATCAAATTGGTGCTTTAAGATCACTGACTCTATTTTAGAAAATGGTTTGGGGAAGAGGAGTAATAGTGGATGTAAGGAGACCCAATTATGAAGTTCTTGGAGAAGAAAGGTGATGGTAGCTTGACCTGGAGTTGTGGCCCTGGAAATGGGACACCACGTGGAGGTGATTAACGTGTGTGGAGAGTAGAGGGGAGATGTCAAGCTAGAGTCCCAGATTTCTGGCCAGCACAGCTAGGTGGATTGTTGTGCCCTTCACCAAGCTAAGAAACTGGCAGAGAAGCAGGCTAGGTCATTTTGAATTTGCTCTATCCAAAAAGAGGTGTTGAGTCTGATGTCGGATGTATTGATCTTAAGTTCAGGGGAAAGTTTTGCTCTAGAGATACAAATTTGAGCTTCATCAGCATATAATATTGTGTTTGAAACCATGGATGAGCTTTCTTAGGAGGAGCAATAAGAAAAAAAGGGTCTTGGGCCAATGTTGAGGAAATCCAGGATTTATGTATCAGAAAACGTAGGATAGCAAGGTGAGTGCATTATTACAAAAGCTGAGAGAGGAGTGTGTTTCAAGGAGCGGAAGAGATTAATTAATCATGTCAGATGTTGATGAAAAATAGCCTGAGAATTTAGCAACATGGCAGTAGGTCATTCATTGGTCATCTTTAATGTTGTGGTCGAGGACTGCATGTAAGCCAAGGAACTGCAGAAAGTCAAAATGGGCAGCTCTCAACAGAAGTGGCTGGAAAGGTCAGTCGAAGGAGTTCTTCACTTTGAGGGGTAGGTTGGAAAAGAATAATAGAGTTTTTTAAGTAGGAGAAATATGTTTACATGATAATGAAGACGGTCCAGGAAAGAGAATCAAATGTACAAAATTCTCGAGAAGAGGGCAGTAGGGGTAGAATCTGGAATACAGATGAGGGAGAAGAGGTTTGGGCATTAGCTAAAAGGACAGTTTCATACAATGCAGCTTTAAAAAATTTTTTTTTTTTTTTAAAGATTTATTTATTTATTTGAGAGAGAGAAGGAGAGAGAG